CGAGGACGAAAACGACGACGACGGCGGCGAAAAAGACGACGACGACGACGACGTCGACGACGACGACGACTCAAACGGAAAAGCGTCTCACACACGCCGAAGGGTGGGCGGACTCGCTGGATGTGCTGGACCTGGCCTGCAACATCGGTTTCCTAGGGCCTCCAAGGTGGCGCATGCTGATCTGGCTGAATTGTCGACTAGTGACTATTGCAATGTTCACAGTCGTCCGAGCTGCCCTGAAGTAGTGCTGTCCACGCTCGCATGACGACCATCCCTCTCTTCTAGTCTCGGTTCCGCCCACCGCATTTCCACAGTCTGGCCGCGGCCTATGCACAGTACCGAGCGAGTTCAGAAGATTTGGCAGGATTGCTGCATGCGGGGGGGTTCTCGTTGCGAAAGTAAATGTGCTCAAAGCCGTTGCTAAAGTCGTGTTCCTCAAGCCGCGCCGAATGGCTTCTGTTTCCTTGTCAGGAGGTGGATGTCATCTTCTAGATCCTTTGTTGAAGCGTCCTGTTGGCTCTGCTCCAGTCAGAGCTTCGGCTGACCCGGTGGTTGCTTGTATGTGGAGATATGTATCAAGCCGTTGTGGCACGTTGTCTTGTGGACAATCCCAAGCTAAGAGCTGCTTGATTCAGTGAAAGAACTTCTTGTCATGCTGCTTCAATCAACTCTGGTTGCGGCGTCCAAAAATCCTCTTGGGGATCTAGCGAACCCCACCGCCGATCATACTCTTCCTGATCACCTTCGAGACAATTGTGCCCGTGTTTGCGGTGCCCCTGCCATCACTCCTTCGGTCTGGCAACATGAATTGTTAAGCACGTCGTGCAGGCTACATGGGCATCATCGAGAGAAGCTGGCGATGGTTCTGGCCGCTTTGGCGGTGGTCTTCAACGTGACCGTGTTTGCGTGGATGCCGCCTTCACCTTAGTGTTGAGGCGCGATGTCCAGCCACCTGGCTGGACTTGATTGCCACGCACAGTGTCGTACGTTGGCCGGGGCGACGAAGGTGGGACTGGGGCGACTGCTGCTCGATCCTGACCCGCCACAGTCCCCGACTGCTTGCCCGCCGGTTCGTTCACCGTCACCAGGGCGCTCGTCAGTCCGCACGCTTTTGCAGTGTATTTGGGAGGTGCTGCAGTCGCGCCTCGCGCTGGTTTAAGTGCGCCGAAGCGGGATGCAAAGCAATGACTCAGAGGAGGGGCGGAGAGACACCACCGCACGATCGCATCACGAAAAGCAGGAGGTCGACTGTGCTGCCTCTACAGCCCTCAGAAAGCATCGCCCGCTGCGCTTGACAGCTGTTGCATCGCGGCCACCGTGCAGGCTTCTTCGAGTGACACCGCCCACGGCAGCGCCACGGAAGAGAGTTTGCCAGGAGGCTAACACACGACGATGCCTTTCGCCAGGCTCTGCACGTGGCGGTGGTCGTGTGCTCGCCAGAGCCGTGCCTGTCGCTGTCCTGCCTCCCTCTCCGCACGCTCTCTCGGGCGGCCCTTACCAGCCTGGAACATATCCCTGTCCCTATGCTGGGCACCTCCTTCTCACGATGCCAATCTCAGGGATTCCCTTATTTTTTGAGGGCGAATCCCTAAGATCGTCATCGCCTTTTGGCGTGTCAATCTTAGGGATAGGGATACGCTCGAGGCCGGTAAGGCCCAGCGGCGACCACGGCGAGGGAGCCAGCACGTCCAGCACGCCACGGCGGGCGGGCCCCGCGGCGTGCGCCGCTCGCTCCCGCGGGCCTCCCCTCGCGCCCTGCGCCCGCGCCCGTGATGCCCTCAGCCCCCCCCCCTGTCTCGGGAGCGAAAGAAGGACGTACACGTACATGAATCCACGCTGTTTTCGAGAGTTCGCATTGCACATTTGTTCGTGTCACGCGGCATGTCTCGCGGGTCACGGGGCCGTGTTCATGTACATAGCTGGGCGCGTACGTCCTTTGTGGGGTCCCTACTGTCGGTGGCTCAGCGATCGGGGCTGGACCCAAACAGTGTTCTGACGATGTCGTGGGCCGTCTTCGTTTCTCGACCTCGTTTTCTGCGGCAGGGGCGGACCGAAGACAGAAAGCGAGGGAGAACGAAAACGAAGCGAAAACGAAAAACACCGTTTAGGTTCAGCCCCGTCCGCGCCCACGATTCCTTCTGCCCCCACTGTCGGAGGTTCAACGATGGGGTTCTGAGGGATGGGGTCCCGATGACGAGGAGCCTCAAACGACGCAAATCTGCCCTTGGATCCCTGCCCATCCTTAGGACCCCATCCCTCGGGACCCCATCTTTCGGGGGTGGACAGACCTCCTACCCTGACACGTCGATTAGCGAATTGGCCGTTTTCGGTTCGCGAGATGGCGTCGCGGTTGTCATTTTTGCGGGTCCAGGTCCGTCGGTTTCGGTCCCAGGCCGGTTTCACTAAAGGGTGGTTTACTAAAGGGAGGTTTGTCCACCGCCGAGTGGCGTCCTCGTCCTCCCGCTCTTCTTTTTCTCGCTGTTGTTCGTCAACGTTCGGC